CTCAAAATTTAATGTTATGAGGTACATAGTATGAAATTTCTTTTTTAATTCAAAAAGCACGATAAACTAGAACAATATTTAAGGCGCTTTATTGTAACCGGTTAATGTCAAGTATAGTGGCTATAACAAACTTAATGTAACATGAAAACTTAGAACAGTTTTTCTCCATTTACTAATTAGTTATGATGAACCAAGTTTGTATTTTGAAATTAAAACTCTTAAGACTATGTAAGTAGAATGGTTTTGCTTTGTCAAGATATGTATTGATAATTTTAAGGGGCAATTGCGTCATAGTTGTCTTACAACATACAACTGAAATTACAGTATACATGCATCAAGTTGACAACAAAGACTCTTGTGTAAATGTTTATTCTATCAGTTTATCAAACACCTTTATATAAATTCACGTTGGAGAAGATCACAAACAGAAGAGCATTTGATAGTCAAGATGGCACAATATAAGGTTGAACCAGTTGGTTTTACTAATGTAGATATGTCATCAGCTAATGCACCTGCATGGACAGTTCCTTCAGATGCTGTTTCAAATTCAGATATGAATATATTAATGCCAAATAATAACAAAGATTCGCCGAATAATAATGAATATCCGAGTCCATCTGCACCTGATATCGGCGAGTTACCACCTAACTATTTTGATATATCAATAGTGCCTAACAATGCTGTTTTACATTATAATGAAGTTACCCCGTATACTGAACCATCTGGAGCAATCATCGAACGTAAAAAAGAAGGTGTTCTTTCGTTTGATCCACTTGTTGATAAAAATCCTGATCAATTATGGCTTTATTTTATGACGTATCTCAATGAAAAACCATCTTTAGCTGTTAACATTCATGGTTATCATGTTGAGGTATTGTATAAATCTATTTAAAAAAACTTATACAAATTTATTATTTATAGCATTATACAACATATGAACAACGTCGTTCAGCTGATGGTCATTATCATACGCATGCTGTACATCATACTCGTAATGTGACTGATTTTAATTTTACCATTGATTTAGCAACTTATGTAACACAACAATGGTGGCGTGTAGCGGTTGTTCCATCAAAGAAAACGATTGCAGCTGGTGAAGCTGTTTCATTCAGAGATGCTCTTGAACAATATACACGTTCAGAAAAAAATATTAAAGAGATTAAATGTCAGAAACAATTAGTTGGATGGAATTTTCAAGAATTAAAAGATAAAATTCGAGCTTTGATCTATTCAACAGGTTATCGAGCTCATATCGATATTGTAAGTTGTATAATATTCGATATTGATTGACAATGAATATTTTTTGTTTTTACTTTCTAGAGTTTTCCAATAGAAAATCATCGAATATCAGCTCGTTCATCATCAAAACTAAGTCGTTTTTCAAATTCGACATTAGTTCGTGTTTTATGTGTTGTTTCATGTTTCTTTCTTATCTTTGGTCCTATTTATCTATGTTTGCGTGCGGCAGGTTCGACACGTGATCAAATCGTCGCTGATTATGCGATGGTAGCACCAATTGATACATTTCTTCATTTTAACTCTGGTGTTATTGCTAATGCAGCAATAGGTCGCTCTCGACAACTTTATGCAGCTTATTTTGCTTAATTTTTTGATTATGTAATTTTAGATTGTCGAATGATTTTTTTTATTGTAATCATAAACAATCTGTGATACATATTTATTTATATGTTAAAACAATAAATTTCTAATAAGTTTAAGGTAACTTTAGTGCATATGGCGAGTATATTTGATATAAAATTAAATCGTATGAACATATCTTTTTTTACTGTACGATTGTTTATAATATGAAATCTATAATAAGTTTTGTAATTGATTATTAGCTATTTGTTATAATTTATTGAACAACAACTAAATATTAGAGTCTTCTGTGTAGAAAAAACATAAAAGAAAAAATTGTTTTTCTCACTCATGAATAATTAGGTGATATTGACATTATACTGAAAATGTATTTTATTCGAGTTCAATTTATAATTGGTTTCCTATGACGTTCTTAATCAAATAATTCACGTAAAAATCAATAGAAAACAGACGAAGAATTGTTAAATAATCATTATGTGATAAAGATTTATTCGCAGAGTCAACTACGGTGAATTTCAATGACATTTGAATGAAATCGAATGGGAAAACATCCTTTTTACATAAGGATTTATTAAGTGATGTACATCATTAAATAGAATAAAGTTTTTCAAGTCACCCATTTTGTTTTTCAGTATGCTATTAATGTTACTGAACAAGTTGGATTTCTTGAAGTGATTCGTTTACTTGTAATCATTTTAGTCCTTATGAAACTTAGTCATTCATATCATAAGTAAAACATTGTTCTCACACAAGTTTTCACTATTATCGTTTTATAACTGTTGTATATCAAAATAAATATTTTATATTATATAGACCTATTCCATGTTTATTACTACAGTTTTTAATTTTAACTTAATTGAATCCAATCAATTGTTTAGTGATGTATCACTACCTCACCATGAAACTCAAGTTTAGAGGTTTTTTGATGATAATGTTTTTTTATTTTGGCCTAGATCAACACATATTATCGTCCTAGATTGCATTGTTGATATACAACATTTATTTAATAATCGAAATAGTTATGATCAAAGTGAGATATTTGCTTTAAAAACTGGTGTTCGATTTTTCGATGGTCTTATTTATTTTAAAAATTGGTTCAATATATTCTAGTCAAACAAAACAGTCACTAACTTAATATTTCGGCACTAAATGTAAAAGAAATGGCACTATGACAATATCGTGGTTTTATTATGAAAAAGTTTTCTGTAATTTCCAATTAATTACTAATTATACGAATAAATTTTTAAATAGCTGGGATAGAATACTTTCTGAAAAAATACATATTAATATCATTCAATAAAGTTAGAATGTTTTGCTTGTATCATTTAGATTTATTTGTATAATAAACGATTTTGTTCTTAATAAAAAAGAAAATTCTGTAAAAGATGTTTATCCCATTGGACCGATGGGATGGGACAATCTCATTCCACGCGAAACTCTAGTATCCAAAGGTTCTTGTGACAACTGGTAGCAGGATATCTTGAACTTAGTGCATTCACTAGGACTGTTTCTACTAACTTTGTATTAGATGAATATCGTAATTTTCTCCGCATATAAGTTTATATAATCGTTTATGAACGAAATGAATTTCAAACGATTTTCCTCTATAGAAATCATAGCATTTTTGCGTTGGCTTTCTCTGCAGAAAGGCACAATACAAGTTTGTTGATGGTAGTTCGCGTGGCTTTCTTTTCTTTTCTTTTCTTTATCTGAGTCATTTTATTTTTTATTTCTGTCGTACTCGTGACAGAATAAATACAAAAACAGAAGCGATGCAATAACATTTGGTTATTGCACAAGACACAATAAATTTATGATTGTTTGATGTAGATGCCGAAATTGTGCAATAATCTTACAACTTATTACTCGTCTTTATGATATTTAAGACGAACACTTTCCATATAAATCATATTATAGAAACAAATCGAAATCAATAGTAAACGTATTGGCTGTCAGATATCATCTTCTTATTGACTACTGGTAAATACTATTTTTGTTTATTTTTATTAGATTTCTAATTGGTATCTTGAAATAAAATCAGAAATCGATCTTTATTCTTTTTCTTAGTGATAAAAAGAGTGCTATCATGGCTGAAAATGATATAGCTATAAAACGTGGTGGTGGCTATATTGGTGTGTTTGGTCCTCGTATTGATACTATGGCAAATGAAGTTGCCACTGCTGTTAGTATGACTACAGTACCATCATCTCCTTATCATATAACTCTAATAACTAAAGATGAATTACGTCAATTAACAACAGATTTATCGAATAAAATTGATGATTTATATGATAATGCAACAAAAATTGATACAAAATATATATTTTCTCTTGGTCTTGGTGGTGATCCGAAAAGTGTTTGTTGGGTTGTAATTATTTGGAATGCAGGAAATATTTTTCGAAAAAAATATGGTCTATCTTGTAAACAATTTCATATAACATTAAGTGATAATGATAATCATTCACTTGATAAAAGTCTTAATTCATTATGTACAATATTTTCAGTTGAAAATCTTAATTTAAATATAATTGATCATCTTGTTTTATCATATAATTTATCTGAACAATGTGATCAAGCATTTATTTATGCACGAGAAATGTGTACTCGTTTTCCTGATTCTGAAAAAGGTTGGTTACGTTTAGGTGATATAGCACGACGAAATGAACAATATAAATTAGCAATGTTAGCTTATGCACAAACTATGCATCTCGCTAATGGACAAGGAAATGAGAAAATTCAAGATTATTGTTGTAAAAAAATTTTTCATTGTGCATCAATTTATACCGAATGGGAATGTCTTTTTGATGAAAATGAATTAGATCAAATTCCAGAAGAATTAAAAATAAATTTATTTACACCATGGACACAAATAATTCGACAACATTTCATGAATATTTATATAGATGAACAACCACAATTTCATCAAAATCCACGTGAACATCTTCTTGTGCCGTTTATTGATCCACGAAGAAATCAAAATTTAGGTAGATATTAACATTCTAGTCAATTTAAAATGAACACAAGAGAGAGAGAGAGAGAAGTGAAAAGAAAATAGCAATGAAATAATAAGAAATTCTGCAAGATGGATCGATGTTTGAGTTTAGAAATGAGCAGATCGAAGAATTAATTCAAAGTTTTGAAAGTATATAACAGAAAAATTTGCTATGTTTATTCAACATAAGGAATTACATATAGTTCTCTGATAGCAGATGACTTACTCTTAATTTAAAAAGTTTAGAAAATATCTTCTATACAAAATATGAAATATAAAAATCGTCTTATTCGAAAGTAAAAAGAATTAATATTGTATTTTTTATAAATAATTCTTAGATTCTTTATTATATCAAGTACAAATTAAACCGCTTTTCAGTCAATACTATGTACTTCATGTAAACATTTACGAACTATAAATACTGAAAAGAATTCAGACTCTTAGCTTATTGCTGCTAAAATACTGCATTTTACGGTGTTTTTTTAGTTAATTCTGTGATCACTTGAAAAACTTATTTTTGAATTTCTAGTTGGAACTTTCCGTAGAGACTGAACTCATCAAGATAGTTTATTGTAAAAGTTTCAAAATGTTTCATGATTCCTATCCTAAAATACAGCTATGACCAAAGTTTGTCTTATACACTGTTCATATACACATACAGATTTGATGTACTTATTTCAGAAAAGAAGCCTATTAAAAGGCTGGAAACTTTCACAATAAACTACTCTGATAAAAATTTATTTCTGTACAAAATTTCAAGATCAAATTCGGAAACTAATTTCTCTACTATTCTCGAGGGAAACCACGACATTGATTTTAAAAAATACAATAAAAATGCAATATATCAGCAGCAATAAGATAAGGATTCGAAATCTCTTCAGAATATTCAGAGTTCACAAGAGTCTACATGATGTATTTAGTTTGGATTCCAAAATGATTGATCAATTGGAAGACTTCCTTTGTAAGATCAAAATAGTTCTCTCATCTGCAGAAATTAGGTTAAAAACTTTGTCTAATGTCTTGAAGTAACTGATTAACAATAATAAAAAGATCGAGTAAAACAATTTCAAACTAACTTGAACTAAATAGACTGCAAAATAATGGTTCCCGTAATTCGTTAGACTGAAAATAATGAAAAAAAAAAACTGCTTTTGGTTTCTATACTTTAATATAAATTATTTGTTTTCATTTAGAAATGTTTTCTTTGCCACGTTATTTTCGTTGGATTGTTCCATTTTTTCTATCCGTCATGTCAACTCCTCGACATGAACGTGATATTGATGCTCTTGGATCTATTCATATTGGTATTCGACATATAATTACATTAACAGAAGAAGAACCTTTATCTGAAGAATGGTTTTTTAATAAAACTATTTCACATACACATCTTCCTATTGAAAATTATCGAGCACCAACTATTGAACAAGTTGATTTATTCTTTCGTTTAATTAATGATCCAACTAAAACACCATTATTAATTCATTGTGGTGGTGGAAAAGGTCGTGCTGGTACAATGATTGCTTGTTATTTAGCTATTTATGGTTTTCAAACACCAACAGCTCAAGAATGGACACAACCATTTATGTCAGCTGGTGAAGCCATTGATAAATTACGACAATTAAGACCTGGAAGTGTTGAAACAGAAGAACAAGAACGATTCGTACATACATTTGTTAGTACTGTATGGAAACGACAATCACCATTACCACCATTACCTAATGAACCCGAAGGAATACCACTTGAAATAGAAGGACAATTAGATGGAAATATTGATTTAATAATGCTTTGTGGTTTACCTGGTTCAGGAAAATCTTATGTAGCACAAATGATATTAAGACGTGATGATCGTTGGACAATAATATCACAAGATGAAACAAGATCACGTGATACATGTGAACGTGAATTAGGTCGACCAGGAAAACATTCTAAAGCTATTTTAGATCGTTGTAATCCAGATCGTGAAGATCGTAAACAATGGCTTGCAATTGCACAATGGGCACGAAAGCCAATATGTGTCTATTTTGATTATGATCAAGATTTATGTGTATCACGTGCACAACAACGTTCCGATCATCCAACACTTACACCTGGTCAACGTGTACGAACAGCTGTTCAAAGTATGCAAAAAAACATGGAAAAACCAAAACTTGATGAAGGATTTGTTGCTATATGTACAATAAGATCATTTTATGCAGCTAATGATTTAATTAAACGGTTAACACCACTTAATATATTAAAATTTTTACGTACAGGTCATATTATTAATTTAGGTGCTGCCACAGCTGATGATTTTCTAGTATCATTTAAACAAACAAATCATACACCATATGTTGTTATAACAGAAAAAGTTGATGGTGCTAATATGGGTTTTTCATTATCAGCTGACAGAGAATTACTCGTTCAAAATCGTTCACATTATATAACATCAACAACACATGCACAATTTCGTCCACTTTATACATGGATTGAAACACATCGTGAAAGTCTTTATCATATTTTAGATCGTGATAATTCATTTCCCGAACGATATATTCTATATGGTGAATGGGTTGTAGCAACACATTCAATACCTTATACAAGATTACCTGATAGACTTCTTGCTTTTGATTTATATGATCGTCAAACACAAACATGGGCTGATCGTGATACACTTGAACGTTTACTTGAACAAACTAATATTATTTTAGTACCAATTATGTATCAAGGACCAAGACCAACAGATAATGTATTAAAAGAAATGGTACATTATCCATCTCAATTTTATGATGGTCCAGTTGAAGGTATTTATGTAAAAGAAGAACAAAATGGACAAGTTGTTAATCGTGGTAAAATCGTACGAAATGATTTTACAGCCGGTATAACTGAACATTGGGATAAAGCAATAATGAAAAAGAATGGATTTATAATTGATGGTGATGATATAGAATAATTGACTTTTTTTTCATTTGTTTCTTTTTTTTTCAATAAATATACTTCAACATAAACAAAATCTTTTCAAGAAAGAAAAAGAAAAATAATCGATAGACTAATAAGAATTTGAAATTTAGTTTTTCTTATATATATATATATCATTAATAATTCTTTTATTTATTATGCAAACAATAGTTCTTTTTTTTTAAAAACAAACAACAAAATCACACAGATATACAAACATATATATATATGTATACTAAATACTCAAAAATAAGCCAATATTCTAAGAATATACAAAAATCAGATATTCGATATTATTTCTTAATCTATTCTTGGCAAATGTTGTACAATAAATGAACTAACATCTTTCATTTCCTAAAACAAAATCAAAACAGTATAGATTGAATTTGTCAGATTTACTAAATGAAAATTTATACCCGGCCACACGATGAATGTCCCATATCATTGTATTCTTTAAATGTATATTGTTTAAAACCCATTGCTTTAATACCTTGTTCAGTAAGTCGAGCCCATCTTAATTGAACCAATGGATCTTGATCACCTATGATGTATAAAAAAATCTTTGTAAATTTTTTATCATTCAATTATTATTTACCATGACATTGAATAATAGGTAAATTAATTTTTTTATCACCTGATACAAGTGCCTAATAATAAATATGTATTCAATATATACATATCTCTCTAAATAATAAAACTAACCTCAGGAAATGTTGTTGATAAAGGGAGCCATGTTGATAAAGCAATAACGCCTGCAAGTGTATGAGGACAGGTCAGTGCTAAAAAATAATGAATAAGATAAAAGAAACAAAAATATATAAAAATACCTGCATGAACTGCAATTGCACCACCCCTAATTGTCATACAAGATATAACGAAATATAATTGAATTTAAAACTTACATAGAAAAACCACCGACCATCTATAATTGAATATTCAAAAAAGCGAAAAAATGTAATGAATTTTCTCAAAAAATTCTCACACTTACAATGCGTTCAGGTAGAATTCCATGTCTTATTTCTTCTTCTACAAGACAATTTACTAAAAATAATGTACATATAAATATGGAAAACAATCTAATTATAAAGAAAAACAAAAAAACTAACAAAACATTGATGATTTTTCAATGCCTTCTTGATCTTCTTTTGCACTTTGATCAAGTCCAAAGACATCAAACCCTATTTTAATTATCATATTTAATTGAAAAATCTCCATGATATTCACTTACAACTTGTCATAGACATTCCCATATTCAACGTTACTTTTTGTACCGGACTATTATATAAACAGTAAAGTATTAATGAAAAAGTTGTTACTAGAATCCCTACGGGAATAATATGTGAAACACGATGTAGTTGCTGTTGCTAATCACAAGTAGATTGTTTTCTACTATCTATTTTGGCATATATTTCTGCACCATTCTCTCTCGCAATGCAATAAGAAAATAGTTTATATGTTATAAGGAGACGTTATTCATATAAAGTCTGTGGATTGTAGAGCCCATCGGGTTTGTCCCGGATCCGAAAATTTTAGATGCGATGGGCTCTAATCATCTGAGAAAAACACAAGAAAATAATATTTCGTATTGGCGGGGCTGCTATCCAATTGCGATTCAAAACTTTCATTGAGAGTATCAAAGCACAGTTCGATCGGGTCCGAAAAATTTTGAATCTCATAGATTCTAGTATGTTGATCGGGTAGTCTATATTTTTTACTCCTATACTTCAACAGTCTTGTTAGATCGTGTTTCACACAAGAAAAAAACGCTAAATTAATTCTTTTTATTTACGCCGTTGGAAAAATAAATTTCGCATATGGAACCGATTTTATAATGCGGTACATATTAAATACTTCATGCCAACTTTCTCTAAAGAAAAACCAAAAAATATTCTCTGAAACATATAAAAAAAATTAACTTCCATACCCAACATCACCGAGACCATGTAAGAAAATAACCTAAATAGAAGAATAAATAAAATATATTCTAAAATGTAAATTAAATCATTTACAGTAGCTGTATGTTTGTCAGTTGCAGAAATAATGGCTGATTCAGTCATATTTTTTGATAAACTAGTGTCATCATCTGATTGTGTTGATGTTCCAGATGATTTTAAGCAAAGATTTAATGGCCATGTCGTCGAACATGAATTTCCCATTCAAAATAAGAAAACAGCTGAAACATATGATTTTAAGATATTTTTTTTGTCTCGCTGACTCTCAGGAAATAATATAACATGAAAAGAAAATCAAAAAAAAAATATAAGTAGCAAAGAATAAGATGACAAATTCTCGATTCCATAAAAGAACAATCAACAAGACAATCAATAGTCAAAATCAAAAATTAATAATTAATCCATTTTTGGTAAATGTTGCTCGATAAAATCAATTACATCTTTCATTTCCTAAAATGAATAAAAAAAAACACGGACACATGAATTAGTGTAACGATAAAAAAGAAAAGAAAGCATTTAGTCTCGTTTCGTTGACATTTTATTATTACATTGAATGCATAGCGTTTTGACTATCAGCAATTCTCATGAGATTCTAACATTTTTGTCAGTTGTCTGCTAGGGTTCAATTATTCATTCATTCATTCATAGTATAAAACATTGTTACTTTCATTACAATATAGAAAATTTTGTTTTTTAATTACTGGTCTATATAGAATTAAAATTTAAATAAAAATTACGACGATACTTACTGCTATACTTTATATATTAAGTTTCTACAACCAACTATTTCTAATAAATTGATTATTTTTATTAAAATACTTATTATTATTTTACAAACTCAAGAAATACCAAGCACAATAACTACAGTAGATTTATTCAATATTTACGATTAGATTTCATATCCTATGAAAAAGTCTTTTTCCTCTCAAAAAAATCTTCATAATATCATAGGATCCTATACACATATAAACTAATCATCGTAAAAAGAAAACACTTCCATGTTCGACTCTCTGGGCTGTAGCATCAAAACAGGTTTATATTTCTCATGTGATCTCATAGCTGCTTGTATTCAATTAATAATAAGTATTCTTTATCTCTAATTGGTTTCATTATTGAGTGCATTCAGATGGGAATAACTATCGAACTTATGATAGTTATATTTGAAGAATGTGATACAACTTGATGATTCTCTTTTTCATTCGCATGAATAACTCTGTAGATGTGTTGAGAAAAAAAAATTGAATCGACAAAGACTAATGTTCGATAAAGTTTAATAGTGCTGTGTCTAACTAATATGCGGGATGTACTGTTTTTTAGCCATAGCTCGAGTACTTTTCAAATCAGCGGCATCGACATTCTTTGATGTATCCTATCAATTAGATAAATTAGTGTATAGGATGTTATCGATCTGTAAAAGAACAGAAACTCAAAATCAGTCATATGATTATTGATTTTATAAAAAAGATGAACAAGATTAATTGAATTTGTCATTTATTCATTTAATCATTATGTACTAATTACAGAAAAAGTTATTTATTCACAATAAAAATCAAATATTAGTAAGCTTCGACAATATTTATGAAAATTGCATGAGTTTCTAATCTTAACTAAGAATTTTGAAATTCATATTTCGGAATTAATTAGTATTCATTGTTGAACTAACAACAATGACATGTTCTAATATATTCACCATATGTTCTTATTTTTCTTTTACTGTGTTCTCGTGGCTATGCACGAATTGCGACCGAAAATTAAGTCAATTAAGAAAAAATCGGTCGCAATTTGGAATGAATAATTTTACGTTGATTTCATTTTTTATTCGATTTCAAATTGCGACTACTTTTGATTGATTAGTTATCGATGTATATCATGATGAGTTGTACTGTAATGATAATGTTGATATATAAGCGTAAAAAAAAAGATTGCTAGTGAATATCACACAATGGATACGAAATTTTCTTGGTTAACAATCGAAAAAGGTGAAAAAGCCATTCTATACAATAATTATTCATATCATTTAAAACGAGAAAATAAGAACACTTCATCACGTTATGTCTGCACTTTTAAATCGTGTTCTCGCTCTATTACATTGAAAAATAATGTAATTATAAAATCAAATGATGAAAATCCTAATCATGAACCGAAATTACCAGAAAATGTTCAAAGAGTATTTGTGGATTGAAACGTCCGTAGCTTCCTAATTGCGGCCAAAAATTAAGCCAATTAACACATAAGTGGCCGCAATTTGGAACACAGAATTTTACGTTGATCTCATTTTTTATGTGTTTCCAAATTGCGGCTACTTTTTAGTTATCAAGTAATCAACAGTTTGAATTGAAAAAAATATTTAATAAATAAATAACAAAAAAAATTATTCTTCATTACTACTATCTTTAGCATCTTTTATCACATGAATATAGCGATGAGAAACAGCTCGTAAAGTTTTTTGGTAGGCGTCGAAATCTTCATCTTGAATATATTTTGTTTTTTTGCTAACATAAGTTTATTATCATCTTGTGTATATTTTGCTTTTCTTGGTCTTGTTGTTCGTTTTTGTGCTTGTTCTTGTTCATTATGACAAAAATTAATGAACCGTTCTGATTTTCACGTTTTAATCGATATAATTCTTATATATAATAGCTTTTTCATCTTTTTCGATTGTTGACCAAGTAAAGTTTGTATTCATAGTTTGATATGTAGTATGATTTTTTATTTTCAAGATTTTATGTCATACATATATACATATTATAGATCCAACAGAACTCATAATCTACTCTTTCTATAACTAGTTAATCAAAAGTAGCCGCAATTCGGATATAGCCGAAACGTCGAGTATTAGACGATGTAGATCAGCCTATTACAAAAATTTATGAAGAAGAAGTAAAAAAATTCGTAAGCTCTAGTCTGTTGCAATTGTACAGAGTATAGATCATTGAGTTTATTGTTTAGCGTCGTGAAAATGGAACAGCTGGCCCTGTTCCAGTCTTTCAGACGTGGAAATCAACGTTGTACTCTATTCGTAAAACAATATTACCTCCAACACNGAATTGAGAGAGTGAGTGGACGGTGAAATTGTGCTGAAGAAAAACGAAAACTTTCCAAGTCCGGTCGGAGATATGATATTCCTCCATCACGAAAAAGTTTTGTCTTTTCCAAGTGGAGCCAAAACTTTTTCGTGCATTTACTTAGAAAAAGTGAATTTCCACACCTTCCGAATAAAGATTTCACTCTTTCAGAGTATCAATGTCTAATTGTTGAAGGAATATGAAAAGATTCTTCCTAAGTCTAGAATAATAGCTCCAATTAGAAGATTTTGGTCTATATTCGTTTGATCCATTAATTGAATTCTTACATTATTACTTCTAATTATTTATAAAGTTATTCTGCTTTTAAAATAATCATACAGCTTGTTGGCAGGTAACACATTCAGCCGTTTTCTTTTTGATCTTCGAATTCTCATAGCTTAATAACTAAAGACAACAAAAATCAGAAACTTACACAGTAGCAAAACTTATGAAAATATTTAATTTTACTCAAACTTTCATTTTATTTGATTGATCTGTAATGATTCTTGAAGGATAGATAATATCCTTGTAGCAACTTCCATTTATTCTTTTTCTTATTCAAATTACACAATATATATCAGTAGAAAATATACGAAAAAAAAAATTCTAATAAATTAGTTCAGTTGTTTCATATTCAAGAATACTTCTGTTTAACTTTAGTTAAACACAGTCCATTTAAATCGAACAAAGATTACATTGATAAAAAAAGAAATAAAATTAACTGTTTCGGGTTTTTCTTTTTTTTTCATCTAGATTCTACAAATATTGTATCCAATGAAATAATTCCATTTAATGTTCGTCTTTGTTTGGTCGATCGTTCATTATCCGATAATAATTCTCAAAAACAATCATCATCCGATTCATCAATACGTCATAAATCTCTTGATATGCAATATTATCGTATGAAATTATCAATATCAATTGATGAATATACATCATCAATTATAATTGATGATATATTATTAACATTAAATGAATTAAAATCTCATATAGATGATTATATTTCAATAGATCATATTGAATTAATACTTGATTCATTAACAAATTATCTTTTAAATGGTAATAAACAATTAATTGAACAAACATATGAATTTATATTAAAATATATTGAAAAATATCCTCAACATTCATTAATATTCTATTCAACATATATTAAATGTATATTATCAAGAAATTTAATTGTATTTCAAATGGCTATTGAACATTTTTCACATTTTATTATTTATTTTCAATCAAAATCTAATGAACTCTTTTATATTCTACTTAAACAAGGTCTTATTAATAAAATTGATGTTACAACATCTATAACACAAGCTATACGTTTACTTAATCTTCATCGTTATGATCCAATAACATATACTAATTTAACATCGACAATATCATCAAAAATAGCAACATTGACGACGACAGCGACAACAACAACTATGACGACAAATGATTGATTTTAAATTTTTCTTTTTCTTTGTGTCTTTCCTTGAAGTCTTTCTTCCATTAATGTCTGTTAGCTTAAGAAAAGGAACGTTAATATATATTTTTTCTTTGTGTCTATGTATATATATGTGTGTATGTATTATTTGCCCATTAAAACACAAAATATTTGAAAAAATAACACTAAGCAACAAATATAATGGGCTGCTCTTTTTTTTTCATGTTTCTTTGTTTTTTTTTCTTTTTCTCATTTTGTTATTGCTGCTGATGTTTGAGGAATTATCATTCTAGATATATTTATTGATGGATGTTAAACAACAGAAAAAAAAAACGAATATACCATGTTCTTATAGATTATTTCGATAATTGAAAAAATAAAATTATTCATGAACTATTCATGTTGCACATTTGTTTGCACCACCGGCAGTAGATCGCCGGTTAGAGAATAATTATCGGTATAATGCAGTGGTGAGAGCCAGGAAAGGCACCTTAACTCCTTCTTGCTGTAACAACCTTTGAGCATCTTCCTAGCAACATCTTTCAATGATGTATATGTTTCTAATAGAAAAATGTATTAGTATTTGAAATGAAATATTTTAACATATTTATCTTATTTTTTTCTATTGAAACAAATGATTTCCACAAAATTTGATATATTTGTTAAAATATTTTATTGCAAAGACTAATACATCTTTCAAAGATCTTACCAGGGGCTGAGTTATTCTTAGCCTAAAATCCTGGCTCCAATACTGGTAGGTTGATGATCAGAGGTAGCCGATCATTTAAGTATTGAAATACTATCGATTGATTGTCTATATATAGGTGGGGTTTTGTCCGGTTTGAATCACATAGGTACAATATAATGGGTCATTGTGTAAGTGTTGATTTCATAGGGAGGTATAGATTGAAAATGTCGATCTTATCAAGAATTGAATTGAATATATATATGAATTGTTTTTAGAAAAAAGTTTTTAGATTTTGAAAAATTGATAATACAATTTACAGTATTCCAGAAAGTTAAAAATAAATATTAATAGAATGGATATGAATGTGGTTTTAAAAAGATCATTTCAAAATTGAATCATTTCTTTCATATAAAAGAAAATGTTTCTAGTATAGATTAGATTATTGTTGAATAAATCGAAGTAGATGACGCTTTTGTTTCTTCTTCAATAATCATGGTCAAGTCTTTTTTTTACTCTAAAAAAAATTTTTTTTTTAAAATAAACAGTTAGATATGAACTCATAGAGTATCATCGTTCGATTATGATTTTACGAGATTGCTAAATTTCTGGAATTCTTAATGTCAACGAATGTTTCTCCTTCTACAACAAGTTTAGACTTCTTTTTCTGCATGGTTCGTAAGATATAAACAAGTAATTTCTTTCACCGTAATTATGCTCATAAACTTCTGATTCAAAAAAAGATGAAGACTTTCTTTTTACCCCAATATAGTTCTGCCTCTCCTCTATCTATAAAATGATATTAAAGTGTCATCTCTTTATACTTTCATCCTAACGCTCAAGTCATTTAATTTATTTTGCGTCCTCTTCACTTTCTATATACCTTTAAGTAAAATCGATAGTATATTTGAGATTAACAAGTAAAATTGCAACCACTTCTCTCGATATTCTTCTTGTGTTCGCGAGTAGTTATTCAAAAACTCTAAAAAAAACAAAAACCATACGTATTGAATTCTATATGCTGGCAATCGAAAAACTGCACTATTTATGTAATGTTTAATTCTGAAGTATATTAGTAATTTATTCTAAACAAGAAAAGAATTATTCATAAAAACTAACGTCTAGAAAATGATTTACATTGTAGATAAAATTTAGTTATGTCTTCAAGTTCATCTTCAACTACAACGGCTAGTAACAGTAATACATCTGATAAGAAAGCAATATTTACTGATACTGAAGTGAATAATTATTTTATTATTATATTTTTTTTTTCATATTTATTATACATTTAGATTGATGCATTTCAAGGTCTTGATGTATCACGCTTATCTTCTGAAGATATTATTGCTCGAACACGTTTATTAGATAATGAAATAAAAGTTTGTATATTGATAATTCTTTAAATCAATTTCAATTTTAAAAAATGTATATATTATATAATTTAAGATTATGAAAAATGATATTGTTCGAATTTCACATGAAACACAATCAACACGTGATAGAATAAAAGAAAATAAAGATAAAATAAAAGTTAATAAAACACTACCATATCTTGTATCAAATGTTATTGAAGTAAATTTTTTAATAATTTTTTTAAATTAATTATTTAATTAAAAATATTTAGTTATTTGATCTTGATCCACAAGGTGAAGAAGATGAAGGTGCAAATATTGATCTTGATGCTCAACGTAAAGGAAAATGTGCTGTTATTAAAACATCAACACGACAAGTAAATTTTTGAATAAAAAAAAAAATAAAAATATTATTTTACTTCTTTTTTCTTGTTAGACTTACTTTTTACCAGTTATTGGTCTTGTCGATCCTGAAGAATTAAAACCAGCTGATTTAGTAGTAAGTTTTATTCATACGAATAAAAAACCTATTCTTTATTTAAAAAGCATTTCAAAAACAAAAATTATTATTTAAGGGTGTTAATAAAGATTCATATTTGGTATTAGAAAAATTACCTGTTGAATATGATTCACGTGTAAAAGCTATGGAAGTTGATGAAAGACCAACAGAACAATATGGTGATATAGGTGGTTTAGATAAACAAATTCAAGAATTAATCGAAGCTGTTGTTTTACCAATGACACATAAAGATCGTTTTGAAGCACTTGGTATACAACCACCAAAAGGTGTTCTGCTCTATGGTCCACCGGGAACTGGTAAAACATTATTAGCTCGTGCATGTGCTGCACAAACTAAATCAGCTTTTCTCAAGTTGGCTGGACCACAACTTGTACAAATGTTTATTGGTAATAAGAAAATACAATGGCACTAAAAAATAATAATTTATATTTTTAAGGTGATGGAGCTAAATTAGTTCGTGATGCATTTGCATTAGCAAAAGAAAAAGCACCAGCTATTATTTTTATTGATGAATTAGATGCTATTGGAACAAAACGTTTTGATAGTGAAAAAGCTGGTGATCGTGAAGTACAACGAACAATGCTTGAACTTCTTAATCAGCTTGATGGTTTTCAACCTAATCATGATATTAAGTAAAGAAAATAAATGATAAATAATTTGTAAATCAAATATGTTTATATTATATTTTATAGAGTTATTGCTGCAACAAATCGTGTTGACATTCTTGATCCAGCACTTTTACGTTCTGGTCGACTTGATCGAAAAATTGAATTTCCACATCCAAATGAAACGGTAATTGTATAGAATTATTCATTGGCATTAATACGAAATTAATTTTTATCGCAACATGCATAAATTACTAGGAGTTACAAGAACAGTTCTCTAACTGATTAATGACTTTTGAATCGAGACTATGTGTTTCATGCAAATTCAAATAACCTATGAATATTCTGAAAAGAATCTATGTTCTTAGTGTAGTCCTGTGGAGATATTACATTTTTATGGTATTGTTTAAATGAATGCCATGATCTTCGCAGGAACACTATGAAAATGCATTTTCGAATTTCGATTTGAAATTTTCTATAGAAACAGAGCTTAATAATGATATTTTATTATGAATAGTTTCGTTCTTTCTGTTCTGAGACACCGCTGTGATGAAAACTTGTCTTTTACATTGCTCATGTTTACTAGTAAATTTGATGTCCTTATTTCACGAAAGGACCAAATTAAATTGACTTGAAACTTTCACAATAAACTATTCTCATGAAGATCTATCTCTGTGCAAAGTTTCAAGTTGAAATTCAAAAATAACTTTTTCTAGTGTCTCGAAAGGAGGGACCACGACATTGACTTAAAAATGCTGTAAAAATCAAATATCTCGACAGCAATAAGCTCTAAGAATCCTAATTATTTTCAGTATATTTATAACACATTAGAATCTACATGTTGTACATAGTCTAGACTTTAAAGCGATTATTCAATTGATGGACTTCTCTCGTCAACCAAAAGTCGAATGTGATAATTAATCTTGAAAATTTATAATTATAATTAAATGTTAATATTTAAAAATAACTATTGTATGAAATGTGATATAAACTTTTTATAAGAGAGAATTGTGAATAAGTATGAAGAAGTTTAGATCGAAAAAGTTCATATGAGTACTAAATGTCTCGGATTTCAACACCTTAGAAAAATTTCTATATGTCATATTTCAAACAGTGAATTTTTTATTTTCTTTGCATATGTTTTGAAAATAAACTACTATAAGATGTTATTTATTACTATGAAAATAATATTGACTCTTTTTTTTTATAAGTAATACTCAAAGTCATTTGTGATGATTCGAAAAGATAAGCAATAGAGTACAATCACTAATCATTCTATCGATCATATCATACAAATTATTGTATAGTTAACTAGGTTCATTTTAACATTATAAACCTCAAGGATTTTTTTAACAAATATATTTTTCAATATGCATTATGTGAAATCAATAATTATTCGTAAACAACTATAAAATTCTCTCTGTCTTCATTCATAGATCAAACTCATTGATCATATATGTCGATATTAATCTATTCGTCTATTTAATTTTAGGCTAGAGCACGTATTATGCAAATTCATAGTCGAAAAATGAATACAAACAAGGATGTAAATTTTGAAGAACTAGCTCGTTGTACAGATGATTTTAATGGCGCACAATGTAAAGCTGTTTGCATTGAAGCTGTTCGTATATAAACATACATAAGAAGAAAAAAAAACCGAAAACTTGAAATAAAATTTTATTTCCTTTCTAGGGTATGATTGCTTTACGTCGAGGAGCTGTCGAAGTTCAACATGAAGATTTTATGGATGCTATTCTCGAAGTACAAGCAAAAAAGAAAATGAATTTGAATTATTATGCTTGATACAATCAATGATTTCTTTTTTCCTATTGATAGTTCAATCATACATTTACTTTGTTCTATTTTCTCTTTTTTTTAAACGTAAAGGAAGATTCAAAACAAAGTTAAAATATATTTAGTAACATTCAAAATTATTCTTATGTTGTACAGACGTTCTATCTCTGCTAGGATACGTTTGTTTTAATTATAGGTTTTACTTAAATATATAATAGGAGATATAAGTTTTTCTGTTGTCAAAACGTTTAGATTTATTCATCGAAATGTTACAAATTGAACCTAAAAAAATTGACATTCATTATTATTTGAATTCTTCGGATAAATTTAAATCAAATGAAAATATAGAATGTTACTCTTAGATGAAAGTAAAATTCAAATGATACGATTCTAGCACAGATAGAATGAGTCTGTATTATTTTCTTTGAATAGATGAAAATATTTGAATATTATTGTATATTTAAATTTGAATCAATAGTCAACGATAATTATTCATTTAGTTCCAAGATTTATTAACGCATAATTAAAATTCACGAGTTTTTCGCAGTGATTGCTCTCTTTTTGAGACCTTCATTAAATATATACGATGTACGACCAGTTGTATTAGTAGAAATTCGACGAAGTGTTATATTGTTGAGATACGTATAATCAACATTTGTCTGATTATTTGGTGGAAAATACTCTAAAAACATAGTTGAATAAAATATTTCATAAATAAAAAATAAAACTTACTATAATGAGCAAGATTTCCAACTCCAATACCAACACCAACTCCTATTGTAATTACTGCTAATGCACTTAGAAAAAAAATTCCAAACCTACGTGTCGCTTGATCTCTTATGAATACAAAAAAAAAAGGGCAATTAATGGAATAAAAACAGTTTCTGTCTTAATCTACTTTACAACTGTTGAAGCTGCAGGAGTCAATGGTACTTGATTGAATTGCATGATAATCAATTTTTGAATAGACTTTATTAGTTTAGTTATATACAAATCATGTGAATATGACTAAGGCCAATAATAATATTTAACACTGCTGTTTTTTTGCTTTTCTGTCTTATTCAACGACAAAATATCAATCCTTTTTTTCTACTAGTCACGCACTAACGACCAAAAAAAAAATATATATATATATTAATCGTCGTCATTTCTTTTTCTTTTCTTTGCTTTGCCATCTTTCCTTTATACCTTATCAGTTCTATGTATATATTTATATTTAGTAAAATCTTTTGTAATAATAAATAAAGAGATACCTCCATTTTATTAATGGTTATGTCTTTACAAATTTAAATAGAATAATTAAAAGATTTGAGTGATCTATTTTCGATTGAAGTATTCAACAAGAAGAAAAAAAGAAATACTTTGTTATTTTTTCATATGAAGGTTAAATGATGAATAAGTACGAATTGTCAGAATCTCAAACGATGTAACAAGTGAAGAAAAGAATTTAAAACTTCATGCTCAAAACTACTATGAATAATTGAGAGATATAAAAAGTAAATTTACATAAGTTTAACTCGTTTTGCTCTGTACTTTAAAAGCTGAACGCGTTTTCTTTTTAAATTCAAGGCATTAATAAACGTATGCTTGATTGTTCTGTTTCTAAATGATCAATGTAAGGTCGAGTGAAAAAAACCTCTTATAAAAACATAATGGCGCCTGTTTGTTTAACTGAATTTCAAAACTCATGTTTATCACGAGTATTCTCGTTTCAATTTGGCTAAATCTATTCGATAGATATTATACATTTCTATTTAGTATACTTTTTATTTTTGTGTTTATTATGGAGATTTACATTGATTTTATTTGTATTTCTACTTATTTATCATTATCTTGGTTTCATATAAATAATAATCAATTAATTCATTGTCCATTTAAATTTCTTTGGTCTTATATAACAAATAATTCTTTATTAACTCAACAAAATCCTCCCTTATTATTGAGTGAATATACATTTGAAATATCAAATATTCCATTACAAAATTCATTTCGTCGTTTAATGATTTTAAGAATACAAAATCTATTTCGAAAGACAATATCAGATACAAATAAAAATTCTGATAATCATAATAATAATAAATATTCATTATTTGATTATCGTTGTCCTATATGTTTGAATAATAAACAGTATTCATTTCGATGGATTGCACTTGGATGTGGTCATATATTATGTTCATTATGTACTCAACATCTTTATTTTGGTAATAAACCAAACTGTCCTAATTGTCGATCACCTATTATTCTTTCTGATTTAACAATTCTTTACATTTGAAAAATTATAAAACTTTCTTTTGTTGTTTAAACATATGCGAACAGATATCTGATTCCAGAATTCATATATAGTTTCGAGAGCATGCCAATTTTTTTTTTTTTTAATTATATAAAAAGTGATTGACGTTCTCTTCTTGTTACTTCTTACTATCATCTTTCGCTTTAATTTTTCTCATAAAAAAAAAATCTAATTTTAAAATAAAATATGATGAGTACGAAGGTTGATGACGTCGCTTAGAACTTAAGAAGAAAAAAAAAGAAAAATTAATAAAACGAAATATAATGCATACATGATACCCCGTTGGTAAATTTAAATGGCTTTCTGTCTAATCGAAAAAAAACTCAAGGAACGGAATGAGAAACCTACTATTTTTTCTTGTCTTGCTATCGTTTCATTCTTGTTTGGTTGACTGATGTTGTTCTAATGTCTTAGATTGTGTAAATTGAGAGGAGAAGAAATAGATTGTTAAATTGAAAACGTGATTATATAGAAAAGAAAAACAAGAATATGTAGATCGAATGATGCCATTCAACATTTATTTTTGTCGACAACCAACAAACGACAGAAATTCTTGTTGATAGAATGTATGTATAATAATTTTTTAGTTTGATCAAACACATGTAAACATGTATTTATTAACAGATCAATTGAAGAACAAAAGAAAAATATTTAAACATGAATAATCCATATATACCATTGATTGATCATCGTGGCTTTTTTAGTAAAAAACGAATGCATTTACAACCAATGGTAAGTATTCGATTAGATAGATTTTCAAATTATTGTTTTATATTTCAATAAAATTTGTATATAAAGCAAGAATTATATATTTTATCAAAAAGAAATAGAATAAATTTATATTCTTTTAATAAAAACTTTTTAAAAAGTATTTTATTATAGTATTTGAATAATAACGAGTACGAACAACAAAAAAATTTTTCGTATGTAAAATAATCTAAAGGGAAGACTATTCAATGCTTTTAATAAGAATCTATAATAATATGAAAATTGAACTAGTAATTCAATAATAATTTAATCTAAATTAATTATTTGATAAATTTTTTTTTCTAGTTACCAATTCCTGTTACTTATGCATCAGCAGCTATTCCGACATTTGCACCATTCGGTACTGAGTATACACCTGGTCATACAATGAAAATAATTGGTGGTCGTTATATATCCATGCCTGATTCAATTGTTAATGGATCTAAATATCCGTCTGAATTATTAATACAAAACATGTAGGTTTCTTTTTACAATAAATGTATTTAATTATTTCACTTTCTTAATCAAACAATCAGTTAATTCTGACAGAAAAAAAAAACAAAAAGAACAAAAAGTCTTTTTCTTTTGATTAATTTCACGTTTTCACGATTGATATTATTCTTATAAGGAAGAGAAAAAAAAGCCTTTGAGTACTATTAAAATCGCGAGAAATAGTCAAATAAAGAATTCACATATGCTCTTCGTCTTTTCTTTCTTTTATTCGGGTATAAAACAAAATTTAGCAATCAGTGAAAAAAAAAGTTACCCAAGCAACTGACTTTACTATTCTTTGCCGTCGATAAAAAGACAGAACGTTAACAACAATAAACATACATATATGCATACTACAAAAGAATAAAGAAAAATACGAAGGTGTCTGGTGTGTGTTGACAATTTTGTTAAAAGGATCAATCATTTCTCTTTTTTTTTCAAATCAAAAAAGACGTTTTAAGTATTTCAATTTTTAATGGCATTTTCACGATTTTATCCAGTTTCAGGTCTTATTTAGTGAGATGATCTTTTTTTTTATTTACAATAAACAAATTTTTAACTTTAATATTCTTCAGTGATCCCGATATAGCACCAACAAAGGCTATTCAAAATGTTCATGCACATGATAGTGCTCAATGGCAACAACCATCTAAGCAAAGATTTGATACAACATATCGTACTGAATATATCAATCGTATTCGACATCCAGTATGTATTAATAAAAAATTTTCTTTTTGTTATTTTTTTTTTATAGAAGAAAAAAAGATAATTACTAAATAATTCAATAATAAAAAAGATATCACAATATCTATCTAGGAATATACCCCATGGTATCAGCCAAAACTTTCGGTAATTTGCACTAACACTCAACTCTCCATATACCTTCTTTTCACTGTCGTAGAAAATGCATTCTTAATATTATTATCACACATTTATTTTTGAGCCTACATAAAAGTTTTCTATGAACCAAAAAAAAAGAACATAGCAACTCTTATTTTTCTTTAAGCATAATATTTTCTTTTGGCTTTAGTTACCACAAACGGATAAAACCAGATTTATATTTCTAATTTAATGAGCTCTTATAAAAGAAAATGGAAGCACTTGAGTAGTTTAATGACATTCAAGTCGATAAAAAAAATCCGTTTTTTTCTTTTTCAAAAAAGAAATATTTGCTTTTGCTTGATTTGTTTATGTATTGTGATATAATTAAACATTTCAAATTGTCGAAAATTGTTCACATGTTCTCCTCTTAAACTTCTTATTACAATCATTTTGTTTTGTAGTAATTATTCTTCTCTTGCTTTACCCTATTCAATATGAACAATGTTAAGCTTTTCTTTTACAAAACGATGTTGATTCGTTTGTATTAGTACTAGTTTAATGTTGTTCTTTTGTACCAATTACATACCAAAGCTTATTCTTCTCGTAAAATGTCAAGAAAAATACTTTTATTCAAACAAACAAAAAAAAAGAGTCACTTTGTTCGGTTATTTTTATTTTTTTATTGAAGAGTAGAATTTAAAAATAAATTATTTTTAATTTTTGTTACAATCAGGATCAAATTGCAAGACCTATTCGAAATACAAACAGTTCACTTAATCAGTATTCTGTCTTACCACCAATTCCTTCAACAACTATTACTACGGCTAATAATAATAATAATAATAATTCTAATAATGTGGCATCTGCTCGTAGTACTAGAACAGATGTTTCACATCAACAAACAATTAAAGATCAAGAAGTACCAACTAATCAAAGCATGCCTAAAGACATACAACCATTAGATTTTCATAATGTTATGCAAAATTCTTATGATTATCAGCAACAGCAACAACCAATGATGAATAATATAGATACATATTTACCTGAAGAACCTGTTTTATTAACTGATTATGAAGAACAACGTTTATCTGAACAACTTTGTAATCAATTAGGATCTTCAACAGCTGTTGATAGATTAAAATTATTTTATCAAGAATTAACAGCATATGATCCAAATTTAACAAGTTATGTGCATTATTCAGTAATTCAATCAATGGCTTATCAACTTGGAGTAATTTCTTTTCTTTTCTTTTTGTAAAATATTATTCTTAGAAAATAATTTTCTTTTCAGTTGAATTTACAAGAAGATACACTTCGTTTTGCTATGTGTAAATTTGTTTCACCGGATCGACCACGTGGTTATGTTCAGTATGAAGATATGATTCGATATTTTAGTAGATGTCTTGCATCAATATATCCTAATCAATATGGGTGAGTTATGCTCTTTATTAATTTGAGAAAATAAAGTTCAAGAAAAAAACAAAACTAAAAAAAAATCATTTTTTTAAATTCAGTCCTTCACAGTCTTATGATTCTTCGGTTTATCGTCATCCGAATTTTCATGGTTATCATCAACAGGAATGTCGATGTCGACATCAACATAATTCATATTTTAATAACCCTTGTCCTATTCATCACTATAAACGCTAAATGTCTAAAAGTGAAAATTAAAATTGAATGCAGTGGTTTCTTCTGTGTTTTTTTCGTACTTTAAATATATTCTTAAATATAAAAGCACATTATCTTATTTTCGGTGTCGTCAGTTATCACTTTATAGGAGCCGACAGTACCAGCGTGGTAGGTTCTGGTCACTGCATTCCATCCATCACGATTTGTATACTCAAGGGTAGGTATGACGATATAAGTGACAAACAAAAACATTTATCTTATATTATTTATTTATATATAATGCTTGGTCATCATTCGCTCTTTCAATCTATCTTTTTTTCGCTCCTTAACTTTTGCTTGCATGTTAGCTGTGCAACGCACGATAATTTTAAATGCATGACATTTAATTCTTAAAATAAAAAAGAAAATTTTTCTTTTTTTGTCATTTTTTTTTCAACTGATATTGTTATTATCATAAATCATTTTCTACTAAATAGTCAGCAACAAAGTCTAAGCCAGAAAAATAACTATTATGATAATGATTCTTATAGTCGACATTCAAGTTTACCAAGACAATATCAAACACAAATGAGATTCGGTGGTAGTGTCGTTAATGATAATGATAATGAAAGTTTCGATCCTGATGAACGGCAAGTTCGAGTTTTATTAAAACAAAATTTAAAATATTTTGATATTAATGGTTCAATTGATTTTGATAAATTATATCGTGAATTTAAAATTGCCGATCGAAATCAAACTGGTGTTTTAAATCGACAACAAATAGAAGAAGTTATTTATAAAGTTCGTATACCATTACAACGTTCATTAATATTTCAAATACTTGAAAAACATTGTCGAGCTTATTTAAGATTATACAAGTAAATATATTTTATAAATGAAAAAAAAAAATTTTTTTTCTATGATAAAAAAATTAATAGGTGGGAAGCTTTTTTTCAATATTTAAAAGAACAAATCCTTGACATAAAAGAAGTTCAAGATCGATCAAGTCCAATGTATACACAAGTAAAACATTAAAAACATCTTTTATTTAATATATATATATATATATATGATTTTATTCTTTAGCGTACTCCAAATCGTAGTCAATGGCTTGATTTAATTCGAAGAGAATATAGTGAAAATGATCGTTTACGAATTATTGAACAATATAGTACACATAATGAAGGACCACGATTAGTAACGAATCAATATTTTAATTAATAAAACAAAACACAAAATTACTTTTTTTTTCGTTCTAGGAAAGTAATAACCCATCTGCATGGTTTGCACGATTTTTACGCCTTGCCAATGCTATGTACAGTCATCGTGCTAGCACAAATAGAGAACGTATGTGTAATAGAATGATTGGAATTTTCTATATATATTTTGTTTTTGTTTTCAGATGATTTTTTATTACCTCGAGAAGAAGCTCGTCGACTCTTTCGTGCTTATAATCAAGTATGGGATTTAAAAATTGAAGAAGATAAATTACAACGAGTACTTGATGCATGTGCTCGTAGTGGAAATACTTCTATTGATGATGCGCTTAAGTTACTTGCCAAATGAACAAAGCATTTTTATTACACTTTTGGAAGTTTTTTTCTTTTTTTTTTGAATTAAATATTCAATTTTTGAATAGTTGATGTCATATAATTATAATGAAAAAAAAAATGGATGTTCCTTAAAAAACAAGAATATTAATAATGATTATGTAAATTGTTTAACAACTATTTAGGAAAAAATAAACTTTAGTTTACATTTAATCTTATTTCAATTTGAAAGATTTCTTTTTTGATACTAATAGAAATAATTATTTTTGTTTATGTAATCTGTTCAATTAGTTTTTATATATGATTAAATATCATTACTTAATTAATATTCCGCTAAATTATCTTCAAATCTCATTTGAACATAATCTTGTAATTCATTGAGAAGAGAAGATACATCTCTAAAGATAAAGATGTCTTAAAATTTGATAAAAAAGCAAGATGCAAAACAAATTTTACGGTTAACAGATCTCTATTTCTGATTCATTCAATCGTAAGTAATGTATGCAATCATCTAGATACATAAGTAATGATTTGACATAGAAAAAGAATTTACTTTAAAACATTAATAAAAAAAAAAGTATTTTATACAGCACTAAAAATTATCATCATAAGTGGAATTTAATCATAATATGTTACACGAATTTTCGATTTATTACATTAATCTTAAATGAAAAAAAAAAAGAAACAGATTGTTTTAGTAGTTCAATGCTAAAATATCTATAGATAGAGAAGAAAAAAATATATTCTTTGATGTATGCCTAACCCGTCCATTAATAATATATTAATCTACTTGTGATATGAGAATAATTATATCTCTTCAATGTTTTTCATTAGTGAAGATGAAGATAAATATCTTCATTAGATATTCATTTTTTTTTCCTTTATGCGAAGTAAAATCTCGGTCAAATTTTTTTCTCTCCTGCTCAAGATTCAGCCATAGAAGAAGATTGAACATATAATGTTTATTGGTAATTTACTATGATTTATTCATGATGTGTGTATAGTGGGTCATTTTATTGATGTACCATGCAGTTTTTTTCTCTCTTTCGCTCTTTTTTTTTTCTCATCGCAACTTGAGAGTAGAATGATGCCGTCGCATGCTGATTACATGCCTTGCAGTGTGTATATAGTTGGAATAGAGAAGGCTTCTTTATGTCTATATGTAGACACATGCATGTACATATGAATGGTGAGTGATTGCTTTTTAGACTACCCATCAAGAGAAACAAGAGCGTATTAATAACAAGAGAAGAAAACATTTTTGTCATTGTTGTCAAAGCAGACACATAAAAATGGCCTTGTAAACGCAATTAGAATACAGTATAACGCTTTTCTTTCTTTTTTTTTCTTTTGTATTATTATTATGACATACCAAGAAACATACACAAGGGTCAGCCAAATATAATTATTCGTTCGTATTTTTTTTATCTGTCGATACAATATAGTACGTTATATATATTTCGATTACAAATCATTTTCCCTTCACCAATGACAAGAGAATCTATAATAACAACAACAATAACAATAATTATCTTGAGTAATAAAAAAAAAAAGTTTGATGTGTCTATATATATATATATGTATATACCATCAAAATTTCGTTGTATTAACAAGGATAAAACGACCATTATGACTCGGCATTTATAATGATCTTATAGAGCTAATATCAAGTTTATTTGAGCAGATGTAAATTGATACGTATGTATTTATAAATCAACTTTTAACCTTCATTGTCGAATATTATTATGAAACAACGGATATAAATGTGTGAATGAACTAAAGAATTATCTTCCGTTGCACTTAAGTGCCAGCACACATTCGGGCATATGCGAATACACACATGTAACGTCTTTTTTCTCTTTCGTTCTCTTATCTTAAAGACTCGATCTTTCAGACAGGTTGCTATCATGAAAAAAACAGAGGAAGAATGAAAAGAAAAAAAAAACAGCAATGATCTTGATGTCGAAGTCCCACTATGCTTCGTCCGCATTCAACAATCTCTTCCGTTTTCTGTCATTTTTGGTCATTAAAAATATATATATATATTGTCGTCGCGCATTTTTCTTCTTCTCTTTATCTCGGACTCCTGCGTGTACTTTTTTCTCTTCTTATTTATTCACTGTAAGACGTAGAACAAGGCAACATAAAAAAGAAAGGAACTAAGTTGTCAGCCGAAGGCTGATTGTCGAGTGTATTTTTTGCCCAACATTATTGCTTTTTTTCGCACTCTTTATTGTCCAACAATCTGTTACTATTACCAAATTAACGACTACGAAAACAATCTATTCATGTATGTAAGGAAAAAAATCTATCGACTTCTTTTCGTTTCAGTAATTATTGTTACAGTGAGATAATTGATGGTATGAAATTTTGTATACTTCTTTCTATAGTTTCTTGAGAAGAAAAATGAAACATACTAGAAATAACCTTGTTTGTATATTGTCAAGTAAATGCTTGTAATATTAAAGTCAGTACATATATATATATATATATTTCTACTACCTCGCCTTTCCACCTCAGTTTTCACCACATTATGTGAATCGTAGAGTGCTTCAACAAATATTTGACAGCGTAACATTGAAGAAAAGGAGAAAAGAGTCGAAGCAATAGGATGTTACAATTTTTATCGATGAAAAAAAACGAAGAACCGAGAAAGAGAATTGATTGAAGGTGAAAGAGTCATAAACATAGACGTGTGCATTTTATTTGAACAGACAAATATACACATATACATTCTTCAACAGTTATAAAATCGTGAACATGTATCATAGATGTTAACGTATTGTTATCGCAAGGTCAGTTTCGACCTAAGTCTATTAATTTTGACTAATTTTTATAAAAAGCAAATACGTTTCTGAATGGCTTCTGTTGACACCAGACATCATAATAGAAGGAAGAAATAAATCCGAGACAGTCATCAATCATTCAGTTCTATTATGTTATATGCATAACAGAATGGATGTTACTGGAATGCTTATCAACACAATTTGTATTCTAGATGTGGATGTTTGATTGAGCATAAAAATAAAGTAAATACATTATGGATCATTTCGATTACGGCAATACAGCATTTGTTAGTCGTCTGAATTCATTGGAAGGAATACAATTTGACGGACGAGCATATGCACTTTATGGTATGAAAAATATCGATTTACATGAATTTTCTTTTTTATTGTATGAATATTATATCTATTTTTAGATGCCAATTTTAGAATTCATAATACACTTACGGTTAATTTTCAAATACAAACATTGGCTCATGATGGCTTAATTTTATGGATGAGTGATTCTTCATCAGAGTCAAGTTTTACAATTGAAATACAAAATCGACAGGTTAAATTTTTTTAAATTAATGTTAAAAGACAAAAATCGACACTTCTTTAGGTGCATTTCACACATATATATGTCATTAAAAGCCTATAAAACGCACGCATATATTGACATTATAATTTCTTCTTAATATTTATTATCACGTTTTCATTTTCGAATGTGATAATATGACATTTGAAATAGTGAACTAATCATTTTCTTACGAGGAATTTCATTCAGTCTAATAACTTAAAGGATTATTACACATGATAGAGCATATTAATTTTCCTACAGAAAAACAATGAATTATTTAATTTGTTTAGTCTAAGCATAGTCTTCAGAATAATTATTTGATAGATCATGTTTATTAAAAATCTATCATTCTCATGTACATTAGTTATCATCTCACAATTGAGCTGGACGATCTTAATATTATTTTATTTTTTTTTAGCTTATAGCTCGAGCTGTTGTTGATGGTCAACCATTTAGTGTTCGTACAGATTTCGTAAAAAATCGTTTATGTGATGGTATTTGGCATTGCGTTCAAGTGCGTCTTGATGGTAGTCTTTTGACAATGAAAGTTGATAAAAAACAATATACGAAAACAGAACCACGTGTAACTTCAATTAATATACACGGTCCACTTTTTATTGCTGGTTATTCAGAAAAATTTTCACCACCATATTTATCTGTTCGTACGAAAAATTTCCTTCATGGAAATTTACGAAGTTTAAGAATAAATGATCAACAAGTTGATTGGCTTGCACCACGTAATAGTGGTTTAGGAGCTGCAACACCAGAATTTCATCGATATAGTACAAAAACAACATTAAATAATTTTGGACGTTTTCCGAGTCCACCAGCAACAATTAATCGTAGATATGAATCAACAACATATACAACATCAAATACTTCAAACGATAGAAAATTTCCTTAACATTATAAATTAAACGAAGAACGACAAAACAAAACGAAACAAAACAGTGATGCAGTTTAATCCGGTTCCTGTGATCATTCTTTTTTTTTTCTTTTTCATGTACTAAATCGCCACAGGAAATAATATATCAAATTGTTTTTTTGTATTTTGTGTTTTTTTTGCGTGCTCCGGCTGTCCTGTCTATTCTGTATTGTTTTTTTTATTCAATGATCATTTTTTTGAACAAGTGCTAGGTTATAGTGTGCTTGGCTTTTTCTTTCTTTCATGTATATAAACAAGAACACTTGAGTAATATCTTATTATTTTATATGATCAATGTTAATATACGCTTGCATTCGTATATTTTATTCCTTGGAAATGAATTTTGTCTTGATCAAATAAAAAAAAGAATCTGAAATCATCATTCAAATCCTTTAGGTTTGATCATTACATGAAATCAGTCATTCCCTAATACATGGAATAAATGAAAATAAAAAAAAAGTATAAGGAATTCATGAGCTTCAATAAATCTATTAAGCTCATTAAATTTTTTCTAATCGAGATTCAATGAATGAACTAATCGTCGATTATTCAAAGCAACCAATATGAATTTATAACGACAAATCATAATAGGCAACAGCGAACTCTTTTTCTCAAATATTAACAGTGAACAATAGCCAACATCTGAAATACGAATTGATTTATCCGATATGCCACTGCTGACGAATTATTATCTATCAATTAAAATGATGATAACTAATTAAAGAATCATTGTGAGATCATTTTCGAAA